TTTTTTTTCAGATATGATTATCACGAGGTCTTGTTGGATATTATTATGTTTTTTGTGCCTTATATATAGTTTAGTAGACTTGTGTTGTAATGTTATTATCTCGTTATGCCTAAAAAAGGTGAATAAAAATGGAAAAAACTGTATTTTAATTTATTGTGATTTCGTGTTAATTTAGTTGGTATTTAAATTTATAGTAGATATATTTACTTATTTAACCATTGTTTGAGCTATATTTTTCATATCAATTTAATGAGAAAATTAACTATGGGAGAGGAAGTTGGATCTCACACATGAAATAGGAGGTCAACAAAGGAGGCTGGACTTATGAGATAACGGTCTAAATTTTCATTTTTTTGTCCCAAAAATTTGGTTCAAATAGGGTTTAGTTTATTTTAAATTTATTACTAGTAAGATATAAATATATTAAATTCAATGAATTAATGACATAAAAGTAGACATGTAAAAGAATATACGGCGAAATCGACAGTTTAAAATCGGATCAAACAGTTAGTTTAAGTTGGAGTTTTTTTCAAACCATTCAAAATTGTTTAGTTTAGGTTTGGATTTTTCTCAAATCGATTTGATTTGAAAATATGTCAAAAATCAAACCGGTTACTCCCGTACCTACTAGACACCACTCCCGTCGTGGCCTCCACGCGCCACCCCCTGAAAGTATTCATTTCCCCGACGAATATTCCTCACATCCCGGCACCTTCAATTCCACCATTTACCCACCCCACCCCGCGCATACAGATCCAACAACAAAATATACATATATATACACGCTCCTGTATTCCACATATTATTCACCCAAACTTTCTCTCTTCTTCTACGATCTGCGATTAAGATACAGATATACGCGAGTGCGTATATAGATGGGATCTGAGTTGATATTCAGAGGGCACGAAACGCAGCCGGTGGCGGATGCATACTCGCCGAAGCCGCCGAAACCGTGGCTGAGCGTGATTAGGCCGATTCGGTACATGCTCCGGGAGCAACGCCTGGTGTTCGTGTTCGTGGGCATTGCCATGGCCACCCTTGTATTCACCCTCCTCCCCTCCTCCAACGTCCCCATCTACAACATCCCCATTTCCAACTCGTACCTCACTTCCGAGTCGACCCAGACCCACCGGATCATCTACCAGAACGGCCATGTTGCAAGGTTCCCATCCTTCAATTCCGGCGGGAAAATTCCTCTGGGGCTGAAGAGGAAGGGTTTGCGAATCGTCGTAACTGGTGGCGCTGGGTTCGTTGGGAGCCATCTGGTGGACCGTCTGATTGGCAGAGGCGATAGCGTGATCGTAGTGGATAATTTCTTCACCGGACGGAAAGAGAACGTCATGCATCACTTTGGAAACCCTAGGTTTGAGCTAATTCGACACGACGTCGTCGAACCTCTCCTACTGGAGGTAGATCAGATCTACCATCTCGCATGTCCCGCCTCTCCTGTTCATTACAAGCACAATCCTGTCAAGACTATCATATCCTTCACTCCAATTCAATTTCGTTTTAATTCTACTTTTTAAATTCAATTTAAGTTACTGTTATTAGAATTAGGCCATGAAATCATCAGTGATTCTTAATTCCGATTTTGCACAAGACAAATGTGGTAGGAACATTGAACATGCTGGGACTGGCGAAGCGGGTCGGTGCACGGTTTTTGCTAACGAGTACCAGTGAGGTGTACGGCGATCCATTGCAACACCCACAAGTCGAAACCTACTGGGGCAACGTCAATCCAATAGGTGCGTCTGAATTCATCAATTTTTCATTTTCTATTCGAATTTTGCATAGGCGAAATAATGCCGGAATCTGACACACTGGATCCGACAAAGCCGGCCGGTGTGGCTCACGTTAGCATGGCCACATGGCGCGAGACTAACGTTAGCCTCTCCCAGGCTATTAAGAAACCGAGTCGTACGCTCATCGGTCATAGATTTATGAAGGGTCGTCCCACGTGTAGTGATGGTGGGTTTATTAGCTTTTTGACCTGGACCTATTCTGTATTTTCTAATCAACTAATTTGAAATTTCTTCGCATAAACGCATTTACATTACTAACGTTTTATTTTAGTCAATCGTCCATGTTTCCATCGCGGACCTAATGGGCACGAGGTAGGTGAGGGGTTTGGCAGATTTTGTTTGGTTTTGGACTAAAATTTCAAAAAGTGTGTTTAACGAAGCGTGTTTCCACCGTAGAGTACGAGATGTGTCATTTGACATGGTGGAATGAGGTGATGACTGACCTTTGTTGGGGACAGGTGTTCGAAGCTGTTATGATGAGGGAAAACGTACTGCTGAAACGTTGACCATGGATTATCACAGAGGAGCTGGCGTTGAGGTCACTTTTCATTTTACTTTGAATAATTTTGTAGATTAGTTATTCAAGAATGTCCAATGAAATTATAATGTAATGTGACAACAGGTGAGAATTGCTAGGATCTTTAACACTTATGGACCTCGTATGTGCATTGACGATGGACGTGTTGTTAGCAACTTTGTTGCCCAGGTAAACCTTTAGTCGACTGTAGAACTTGGTCGGGTCAATTGCAGTTATCATGTAATTAAATCGTTAACCTGAGATCCTATTAATCTTTTTCAGGCTTTAAGGAAAGAGCCATTGACTGTTTATGGTGATGGAAAGCAGACAAGGAGTTTTCAATTTGTTTCCGATTTGGTAAAACGTTTTAAATTTATTTTTACTTACTGAATTTGTGTAGATTTTTAATTACGGTTTTTGCAAATTTTTTTATTTAATTTGTGTACAAGCTCTTGGACTATTATGGTGTAATTTACAGTGTTGTCCTAATACCGTTGAGTGGAGTCACATTTTTGTCCTTGTTTCTTCTCTTTATTGTGAAAGCATATAATCCTAAAGTGGAAGTCTTTATCTCTGATGTGATAACTAATGATTATTTTAGTCAAACACAATCTTTATTAATTTGTATATTTATTTCTGGTCGAGGAAAGAGCAACTTTATGCATTTGAATGTTCTAAAAAGATGGGCAAAGTGACAAAGAGTTCATATATATAAATTTTGCGTTTAAAATATCTTTTTTCTGTTGGAAAGTAAATTTTGATTTGATATGGCAGGTTGAGGGGCTCATGCGCTTGATGGAAGGAGAACATGTCGGACCTTTCAATCTTGGAAACCCGGGTGAATTCACCATGCTTGAACTTGCTCAGGTAAAACTCTTTTCAATTCTACCGTCCTAAAAGAGAAGAAAATACCAATATAATTGGTTATACCATTAGCAACAAGCAACCCGGTCTTTAATTTTGCAGTGAATATATTTCGTTTTGAACAGGTAGTTCAAGAAACAATTGATCCTAATGCTAAGATAGAATTCAGACCCAACACAGAGGATGATCCACACAAGAGGAAGCCTGATATTTCTAAGGCGAAGGAGTTGCTGGGTTGGGAGCCTAAAGTGCCTCTTCGTAAGGGTCTACCAATGATGGTCACTGACTTCAGTCAACGTATCTTTGGGGACCACAAGGAACGTGGTTCCTCGACCTCCTCAGCATAATCCGTGGCCTATTATTCAAAATTTATGAGAGGAAATATATTGTTTAGGGAGAAAAATCCGACGGCAGAAGTGCAGCAGAGAGGCACGGGGGCCAGCTTCGACCCTATATTCTAGTTAAATAGTTTATAATCTTTGTTTTTGTCTAAACGTTTATATACTTCTGGAGTACTTGTTTTCAATCTGTGTAGACAGGTTTGCAGCTACCTAAATAACTTCACTATTTTTTTTTTCTTCCATGGATTCTGCATTTGCAATGAATCAGATTCTTATTTCAATGTTTGGTGGCGCTCTCAAAAGCTTTATTGTTTAGTCTATAAGTCTCGGCCAGATTTAGTAATTTCTACTTGTAACCGTGTTTGAAGATGTGCATTGGCTCGTCACTCACAAAGCTCGAAAACATGCGAGTCCTTTCCTAAGTATTCATGGAAAAAGAAAGTAGTGCATCTTACGCTGCCTGCATATTGGCTTATTTGAGTTCCATGGCTAATTTCCAAACTGCAAACCTAGAAACACCTGAATTGTCTCACCCGACTCAAATCCAAACTAAATGCAAGTGCAATATCACAATCCTGTCTTTGGTCTAATCTAAAAAGTAAAATGCTTTTTCTTTAAATATGGTCCAGTTTATTAATCCCTTGCAGAGTAATCAAGTAAAAAGTTTTTACACTATAATCTATTTTATCATATATTCCTAAGATCAAGTATGCTGCTGCCTAACTCTTATTACATCTAATCCAACCCATTTTCAAAATTTCTAGTAGAACAGGCAAAATATTACAAGAAATCGGTGACTAAAAATTATCAAACCACCAATGGAACTTCAAACTGAGCACATAGCAACCAGAATGATAGAAAGCCTATGCAACAGCTCACAAGATTTTAGTATTTGATTTCATCTTAATTTCGTTGCGTAGAAACTACAGATTCATAATTCATGGTGATGAAAGGTTAAAATCTATCCAATATACTGGGCTAATAAACAGGAGAAATTAAAAATTCCGCGTCATACATCAACCGCGTAGTAAACAAGAACTTCAAAATGATAACCATCAGCTAAATTCTTCCAGAATCGGACATAGATCTACCCTATCCTGTAGGGCCTCGCTACCTGCATCATATGAAAGTATTATAGCATGCTACAAAAGGCAGGTTTCCCAGAGATCATATCTACTATTAAAACCATGATATTTTCCTTCAGTTATAAGGATAGCTAAACAGGAAGTTGGGGTTTCCGAACATAGAAAAGCAATTAGACATGATGTGTAGATGTTGGATAATGAAAATGGTAAAAATAATAATAATAAATTAATAAATAAAATTGGCCGATATTATGCTAGGAAAGATAGTTTGCAAGAGCACTTAATTGCAAGATAAGCTGATATTATGGTTGTATTCAATGTCTATATCCACAATCACAATATATACTAGCTTAAGAGGAATATATGCATATACAATGAATTGATGAATATCTATAACTAAGGGAGCAAACTAAATTAATCAGACACTGACTGCCAGAAAGGATAGAGGAATCCAATCAGCATGCCACAATAAACACCAATAAATTATTGTTACTTAATGCTGTGAGATGCAAGTAAGCAACTGTAAGTTATTGATAAAATTTTTAAGGGGATGAAATATGGTTTGATTTCACTTGCTAAATTGCTTGATGTAAAAACATAAACAAAAACATATGCCTTGGAATTTATAATTTCTGTCAAATATGAATCTTATGATATTCAGTTAGATGAAACACTTAAATTGGGAAAGGCATAAAATTTTCATACCTCTCACTTGGGATTTCTGAGGACAATTATAACCGAATCCCCGCGAAGGAACATCTTACTGATAAACCTGTCCTTGTTAACTGGAAGAGCTTTCTTCTTGCCTTTCCCAGTCTTTGGCACCTGTAAAAGGGCATATAATTACATAAAGAACACACGAACCATCAACTCAACAATTTAAACTTAGTGATGAAACAGGCATTTAGAATGAAATCAACGCAGCAAAGAAAACGACAATACTCCAGAAAATTCCTACCTCAGTCCACATTTCTCGAACATTTTCTAGCACCATGTTGCAGTGGCGATCAAAAGCCCTCACATGGCCCAGAAGCTTTTTGTTATTCCTACAGTTGATGAGAACCTAGCCGCCGATAAACAATTAGCACATAACTCTAGGAGAATAAAGGGAAAAAATTAAAGTTGCACATAGTTTCATAGGAATTTAATATCTTAGAAAAGAGCAGACCAGGGATATAGTGAAGCATTAAGGTTCAAATTACAATGCAGAGTAATAATGGGGATCTCTATCCTTGTTTCAAAAGGGTAATACCAGTAACCAATCCAGATATTTCAATAATGTACATATAATTTACTCAGAAAAGAAGATATGATTCGCACGTGCATAGTAAGTGAATACCTGTGTGTTATTTTTAACACTCATCATTAGAACAGAAAGTGGACCTGTGTTAAACTCCTCCTCTTCGTTTTTCGTCTGTCAATAAAAGCTTTATGTAAGCAGATATGATTCTAAAGAATTAAGTGCAAAAGATTTACATGGATTCAATACTACAAAGCAAATTCATTAACCGTCATATGCAAATGAGTTCACGCGTCCATGATGTTAAGATCAAATCAAAGTCCATACCAACGTATACAGTTAAAAACAGAAATTAGAAGCACCCTTAAAACCAAAGAACAAATAATATAATTTTTCTTCATTTTTCATAAAATCCAATGCATCTGCTTCTACAATACCAAATGTGCAACTGTTTTCCAATGTAAGTACCATAACAAGACGCAAGTTACGAAAAATATCTTATAAAGTAGGTGAAATTATAAAATCTAGACAACAAACCAGCTTATTTCCCTTTGATGAAGTAGGGTACAAACTCAACTCCAGAACTTTTTGATGAAAACATCACTTGCTTGGGCTAGCTTATTTTCTTGTGGATCATTTACTATTGTTTTATTTCATTGGGCTTGTATTATTGGGTTTGGCACAAGCCCACTTACTTTTTAGGTTTATTGGTTTTCTCTATTTATAAGACTTGGTAATGTAATTTGAAGGGGACGATAAATTGAGAAAATGATATGAATTGTGTTTGGCTTGCAGCCACAGCTTTCCTCCCTTGCTTCTCCTTCTTTTCCCTGGTTTCTTCTCCAATTACTTCCCCCCTTTCTCTCTGGTTTCTCCCCCTTCCTCCTGCCTACTTCTTGCTGGAATTATTCTTTAGATTCTGCTATTCCGCTGTTTTAAGTTCTCTGCAAGAATCCCCTTTTATCCTGCATCACTTTTTGATTTCAATATAATGGCCTAAATTCATCAGGATGTTTCTAATTTTACAACAGTTCACTCAACAGAGACCAGTTTCCACAACCAAAGGGTACATTTAAAATCTACAAGTGGTATTCATGCTTCACTCGTTATCTAATAACAAACAATGAACAAGCAGCCCAGCATTTTACAACAAGAAATTATAAATATCATCATAAATAGAGCAAGCCAAAATCTGCAAATAAAAATATCATGAGAACAGGAGAAAAGCAAAAGAGTAGGGTATATCTTACAGGGGCATCTTCTTCCATTGGCCGACTGCAAATACATGGAAATAAGACATAAATAAACAAAATAAAAAAGGGTTTACTCACGGCCAAATTAAAAAAAAAAAAAAAAAATAAAAAAAAACAGAAACACAAAAAGCATAGATAAACTCCTCTCTCTAAAACAAATAAT